ACAGGTTTCTGCCCGTCGGGAGTCTCGCGGACAAGAGCTGCACTGATGGCTTCGTTTGAAACTGCCAAGTATAGGTAAAGTGGCTCGTTGTCATCTGGTCGAGACAGCACGGGCGGTTGAGACAGGCTCTGCTTCAGATGGCGAAGTGCGTGTTCGCATTCCTCGGTCCACTCGAAGGCTGCTTCCTTTCGAAGGAGTTTGAAAAAGGGAAGGGCGTGCTGAGCGGACTTCGCGACGAAGCGTGAAAGTGATGTCAACATGCCGTTCATTACCTGTATCGACTTCTTCGACGTTGGAGTCGGGAGGTCGGCGAATGCTCGGCACTTGTCGGGGTTGGCTTCAATGCCTCGTTCTGTTAGATAGAATCCGAGGAACTTTCCTGCCTTAACCCCAAATGTGCACTTCTCGGGGTTGAACCTCATTTTGCATTGTCTTGCTTGGGCGAAGACAGTCTTGAGATGAGCTGCGTGATCGGTGTCTGCTCGAGATTTGACGATCATGTCGTCCATGTATACTTCGAGCATGTCGCCGATCTGTTTGTTGAACACTTTGTTCATCATGCGTTGGTATGTCGCGCCGGCGTTCTTTAGTCCGAAGGGCATTACGTTGTAGTAATAGTTGCCCGAGCTGGTCATGAACGCCGTGCAGCGTTTGTCGCCCGGAGCCATTGGGATTTGATTGTATCCCGAGTAAGCGTCCATGAACGACAAAGTTTTGTAGCCGGCCGAGTTGTCGACCAGCATATCAATGTTTGGCAGAGGAAAAGCATCCTTCGGGCAAGCCCGATTGAGATCGGTATAATCAACACACATTCGCCATTTTCCATTATTCTTTTTGACAAGTACAACATTTGACAGCCAGGTGGAATACCGGGCTTCAGAAATAAAATTTGCCTCTAAGAGGTCTTTTACAGCTTTTTCAGCAGCCTCCGTTTTTTCTGGAGACTGCCTACGCCTACGTTGTACTACTGCCTTGGCGGCTGGATCAATGGCGAGGTGATGACAGGCGACCTCAGGGTCGAGTCCGGGCATCTCCGCAGCGCTCCAGGCGAAGAGATCAGCATTCTCGCGCAGACAGGCCTTGATTTGCTTCCTGGCCAAGTCGGGGAGGTCTTTACCAATCTTCACTCCCTTAGTCGGGTCTGCTCCGAGGGGAACAAGTTCGAAATCGCCGTCCGGAATAGGTCGGAGGGGGATTTGCTCGCTGCTGGCCGGCTCGTCTTGGTCAAAACGGGCGTCGAGCGCAATGGAGTCGACCTTTGGTGGAGCCTTCTGAACTTCTGCCTCAGGAGATGCTCTGTCGGGCTCTTGCTTTGTCTTCTTGATGGGCCTAGTGCTGGGACCCACGTCGACAATATCCCGACCCCTTGAAGTGGCGTTGAAGCACCGGCGGGCAGCAGCGAGGTCGCCCTGGATGGTGGCTACCCTCGCCCTCTTGGTATAGAACTTCATCTTTAGGTGGACAATTGAGGGGACCGCTGTCAGTTCCGCCAATGTCGGCCTCCCCAGGATGCAATTGTACAGGGATGGGCAGTCAATGACGAGGAAGCGGACCTTCACTTGTCTTGTAGCAGTTGCTTCCCCGAATGTCACGAGGAGCTCGACATATCCCCAAGGTTTGGACGTCGAACCGTTGAAGCCTTGAAGGTCCGAACCTATATATGGAGACAGATGGGAGTCGTCCAGTTGTAAGGTCCGGAACAGCTGAGTGTACATCACGTCGACGGAACTCCCTTCGTCGACCAGGATGCGATGCACGTCAAAATTGGCCATCTTTGCCCTTATCAGCAAGGGGATGACTGCGTTCGGTGCTCCGCCGGGGAGCTCTTCCAAGTAGAAGGTGATAGGCTCTGATCTGCCCTTCACCATTTCGAAAGTCACAGTTTGAGGAGGAGCTTTGTCGACCAGTTCGTCCAACTTCCTCTTTGCTGAGTTGATGGTGAGGTCGTTGAACCCGCCCCCGTTGATGACCATGGCGGAGGGGAAGTATTCCCATCTGCTGTGTGTAGTCAGGGGCTCCTGCAGGAGCTCGGGCAGTTCGAAATCCTCGGGCCTGGTTACCGAGAAGGCGGTCTGGATTGGCACCGACTCGTCGGATGGCCGGGCATCTTCTTCGGGCTCCTTTGCCTCGCGGGTTTCACGACGGGGAGCGTCGTTTCTCCTGTACTGTGCCAGTCTCCCCCCTTTGATGAGGGTTTCAATGGCGTCCTTCAGGTGAACGCAATCCTCTGTCAAGTGACCATGACTCCTATGGTACTGACAGTATTTGTTTTTGTCTACTCCTGGCTTGGCAGGAGCTGGTCGGGGACGCTTGACGCCACCGTCTTTAAAATCTGTGCTTGCACACTCCGCCAGAATACGCTCGCGGGAAGCCGTGAGCGGAGTGTACTCAGTAAACCGGCCCGAGGGGCCCCTTTGTTCCCGGACCTCCCGGGGTCTGTCTTCCTTCCTCTTCTCTCCGGTGCGTCGGGGAGGAGGGTCTTGTCTCGAGCTGCTTCCATGGTTGCGGGCCCTGGAGTCTCGTGCCCTGTTGGCAGCTTCTCTCTCCTCGTAGTCCATATATGCTCGAGCTTTGTCGAGGAGAGCATCAAAAGTTGCAGGTGGCTCAATGCCCACAGCTTTCCTGAATTCTGTGCCGCGGAGGAGGCCCCTCTCCAGCAAATACCTCTTCATATGGTCCGCGCAGGGGACCTGTATTGCTTCCCGGTTGAAGCGGTTGATGAATTCCCTCAAGGTCTCATCATGTCTTTGAATGATGGCCTCGAGGGCTGCCTCAGTATTTGGGTGGCGACGAGAAGCCGTGAAGGAACTGATGAACTGATTCTTCAAGTTCCTCCACGAGGTGATGGAGCCCGGGGCAAGTCCTTTGTACCAATCCATGGCCGCCTTCCTGAGAGTTGTTGGGAAGAGACGGCACTTGATGGGCCCCCCGACATTGTGATAGTGGAGCATGGCTTCGAACCCGTCAATGTGGTCGACTGGGTCCGCCACTCCATCATACTCCTTTAGGTGTGGGGGCTTCTCCATGCCCGGGGGAATAGGTGCGTCCATAATTGCCTGCGACAGGGGACCGCGGGGGTCATCCTCGTCGCTCCTTTCTGGAGAAAGAGAAGGGGTCCTGTAGTGATGTCTGGCACGCTGGTCGTGCTGAGACTCCCTCGAGCGTGATGCTCGGTGGTTGAAGGTCACACGCCCGTCTCTGTTGTGCCTCCTGTCGTGCCTTGATGGGTCGCGACTGGGCTCTTCGGCAGGGATGACGGGCTGTCTTTCATACTGGGGCCGCCTCTGCCTTGGTGGGGGAGAGGGGCTCCTAGAATTCTCCCTGTGATGTCTCCGCGGGGGAGTAGGGTGTCGAACTCCTTCGACCCGAGGAGGCGGAGATGGTGGCCTTTGATGTCTCCTCGGGGGGCGTCGATCATGTTCAAGTGCCCTTAGTCTTTCTCCTTGGGCGAACAGGAGATAGTTCGTCTGGTTGATGGCCGCGAACAGTGCCTGAGTCGTGGCATCTGCCCCGGCAGGGACTTGGACTTCATAGAACCGGGCAGCTTGGCGATAGGCGAGAGCCTCCGGGTCGTCTTCGAGTCTTGGAGGAGTTGTCGAGGAGGACGCAGTGTTCCCGTCCCTGCGGGTGGAAGGTCCAGGGGCGGTTGTCACGGGGACGGTATTGTGGCCGGCACCACTGGGAATGTCCAGCTGCCCATTCTTGTCCGCGGGACCGTTGTTGGCGTCGAGGACGCGGGTGTGTTCTTCACGAGTTGGAGAGGCCATGACAGTGAATGGATTGAGCTTTGGTCTTTGAAACTGTTCGTTAGACGGGGAAGCTTTTTCCCACAGACGGCGCCACTGATCTGACCTGATCAGAAGGTTTGGACCGTCACGGCTTACTCCGAGCTGAAGGCTTTTTGAACGAGGAGGGGGGGGGGGTACCTGCAAGGCACTCCGATGCTAAAGTCAGTGGGAGTACGAGCAGATAATAGAGTTGAGGTTAGAATGATGAATACCTGACCCTCTGGAAGCAGAGGGTATTTATAGCCCCCAGCGCTGGGCCAAGGTTCCTTCATTGGGCTGGGCGGATTTGGCCCAATGGAGGAACTGCCAGGTTCTACGTGGGTAGTGGGGACCAGCACGTGGTCCCCCTCCTGGATATGCTGATGAAATGCGGGCGGACGGAGACGCGGTCTTTCCGGAGTTTCGTTGGGGCAATGGAAGACTAAGTCTGCCCTAGCAAGTTAGCTCGAGACCATGTCGAGCTGCGCAGCACGGTGCCGAGCTCGACGCCAAGACCTCGAGCTGGACGGCGGGTGTCGAGCTGGAAGCCAGGACATAGAGCTGGACGGCATGCTGTCGAGCGGGACTTCATCGTGGGGCTAGACACCGAGATGTCGAGGTGGACATCAGGGTGTCGGGCATGGACGTGACCCCCTTTGCCCAGTGTGGTCCTTAGTGAGTCCCTTTGGACTGGGCCTTAGTAATGCTTTTGGGCCTGTCGGGCCCAGTCCAGAACACATTTTATTTAATTTCTTTCAGCAATTGTTTAGGTTCAAGTCAACAATAATTCAATAGCCGCTTATTGAATCTTCATTAAGATAATGTATTTTTTTTTCAACAATCAACACTAATAAAACATTAGTAACAAAAAAAAATGGACCAACATGTAAAACATATTGACCCATTACCCACACCATACTGAACAAAGAAAGTAAGATATACAATTCATTCATAACCGAACCATTCTCCCTTTTTCTTTGGAATCAATTTACAATTTAATAGTAAAGTACATAAGCTAGATTTAACTGTGCTTTGCCTTATCTAAAACTTTTTTGAGAACCACTGCAATTTCTCTGTGACATATGATGCTCCAGAAACCTCTCTTTTACTCTCTCGTATCCTTTCTTTCCCGTTGTCAACCTCTTCTAACATGGGTTGCCATTTTCACAATGTTATGCGCAAGTGGTGTTATGCCTACCTTGTTAGCAGGGTGGAGAAAACCAGTTGTCCCATTTACCACGATCTCCACAGTGCCTTCAGCTGCCGTGCTCTGCAAATATTTTTATGGAAACAATAACAGTACATGATAAACAAAAGTAGACAGGTATAATTTATAAACATGTTTGCAAGAATCAATGATTAAAAACATATCAGCCATAAACAAACCTATCTGCTACAAATTGGTAGTTGATATTTATTTTTCGCATCACATCCGTGTTCCTCTGCTCCATTATGTTGTTCTACAAAATCGGCATGCAAAACAGTAGATGGAGTTTTAGCAACTCCTTTGTTGACAGCAAATTTGAGTACATCTTCTTTTAAAACCCTTCCATCTTTTCCAGTTCCACACACATCATTTATATCTATATCATGCTCCTTTGCTAGACACACTAATTCAAAACGAGGATTTAACACCAATTTTCTAGATACTTAAAACCAGTTTTTACCGGTGTTATAGCTACCGGTATTGTAAGTATGACACTTCACACCTGTTTTAAAGCTGGTATAAAATATTCTTTTAACACCTTTTATTACTACAGAGTCATTAAACGTTGATATTCAACACCATGTGTCAAGTGACAAACAGTGTTAAATTTCCATATAACACCTGTTTAAGGTACTTAATTGATGTTGAATGGAAATAGTTAACACTAAAGTTTATTAATTGATGTTGAATGAAAAACTTATGCTCTTTTTTCTGACAAAATTCAAATTTAGACGACAATTGACACCAAATATCCTAAAATTCACATTTTAAATAATTAAGTAAATGCAAATGTATAGTAAAGAAGCTTAAAATAAAAAATTTACTACACAAGTACAAAATGTGGAAGTAATGAACATTACAAACAAAAGCTATTGATTGTAGTATAGCCCAACTAAAATAATTGTTCTCCTAAACAAGACTTGCTTCCTCACTGTACTACATCCATTTGCAGACAGTGCCATCCAAATCACAGAATTTTGCAGCATACAAGACATTTTGACAAGGCAAAAACAAAAAACCTCCCCTCTTCAAAACATGAGTTCACTGCATGAAGACAATGCAAAGGAAATTAACATGTTCATGATAGAATTACTACCATCCTGTATTAAAGGCACAAGTGTTAAATTGTTTTTTAAACTAAAGATAATTTAGAAGTGAAATTAGATTACCCAACAGGGAATTCTAGAGTTGGAGCATAAAAGATGGACCCATTATTAAGGATAAGAAATAAGCACACATAACGTGATATTAAACAAAGGATTAAAATCAACACAGTGCCTTCCATACCAGGACTTTTGTTCCTCTAAAATTTGGTTCACATAAAAAGTGTAAGAAATTGATTTTAGCTATAGTAGAACAAACATTACTAGCATTAACACATGTAGTCACTAATAGGAGGAAATTTTCAACTAGTCATTATTCCAAAACCATTTACATAACCTAGATATGATAAACTACTAGTTGTCATAGAAAATGGAAAACGCAAAAGAACCTACAAGTCAAAACTTAATAGATTAGGAGATGTTATCAATCACTTATACTTGGACTCAGTTAACACTAGTGGTAGTGGAAATTGGAACGCAAAGAAATTCAATAGCCTTTAAGCATGCACCTGTAATTGAACCCAAAGATATGTTCAATAGCCTTTAACCATGCATGTAGATTTTTCAAAGAAATAAAATTACATGAAAACCAACCAGTGATGGTGTGGTTCCTGTATTGCTGCAAGATAAAAATATCAGCAAAAACCTTGAAGTGGTATAAGATACTTTAAAGGGGTCAAGTTGAAGGGTATACAAAACAAAATAATTACTATGTGATATTTGATTGGTTATTGTAGCTCCAAAAAAAGGAAAAGTTGTTCACAATGATAAATATTGATAACATAGTTGCATACCTATCAAGTCCAGATTTAGTGTCATAGAGCTGCATTGTTGCATACCTAAATAGAGCAATGTGTAATAAAGTAATACCTTTGAATAGTATGAATAGTTAGCCACAATGAAAAGATCCAATGACTCAAGATACAACTGGAAGCCTAAAATAAAGAAGCATCATTGTGAGCCTTAGGACACAAAATCTTGTTATAATCAAATTTGAAGCATGAAATGCCAATTTCAATGATTCAAGGCTGACATATAATCACACCTGCAAGTTTAGTTAGATATTTATACAGGAAAAACAAAACTCATATGTAAGGGAAAATCTGTGAGACTAGTTATACAAACAACTGCAATCAGATGTATTAATCACTTTAGTTAAACAAAAACAAAAGTTAGAGACACTGATTAAAACTTAAATACAACTGAAATTAGTTAATATTTTGATGATTAATGTCTTACTGTTTTGATGGTTATCATTTTTTTATCAACAACACTTTGTAATTATTTATAAGTATCCTTTTTATGAGTTAACCTTTTTGCCATGAGTATAATACTTACATTTTTCTCTAGGCTGATTTGAATAATAATTTTGTTACCATAATTTCCTTTGATTACCTCTCATGTGTTTACTTTTAGTGTTAAACAAGGTAATACCCTATTTTAATATTGTCATTCAGTCGGCGTGGTCCTGTAAAACTGATGCATAAGACCTATTTCCCCATTAAAATGATCAATTTTATATTACTTTAACAGAGGCCAACAATGCCAACACAAGACCATCAAAATATCAGACTATCTAATGCTAACATCTTAAAAAACAACAACATAAACATATGTAACAAATCTACAATAGGTAGCTCCCAATAACATGAAACCAAAAACTTATTGGCGCCCATCAAAACCTTGTTAAAATCATTTTTAAATCAAATGGGCAACTTCCAAGCTTGTGATGGAAGCATTTGCAGCTGCATAATATTATTTCTCAATGTTAAAGAGTGTAAATCCTTGTGATAGTTTAATGCAAAACAATGTCTATTAAAGACTCACCGAGATTGTCTTTAATGTCTTCTCCACCAACTTCATCTTCTCTGGTGTTGCTTTTTTCTTGATTTACAGTATCAACAATAGTATCTTGTGCATTACCCATATCTCCATCTTCATCCCCGTCTAAATCTATTTGATCTATAACAATATTTTAAAAAAATAATTAACAAAAAAAATGTAGAGATGATAAATATGAGACATTAAATTGATTCACAACCACAAACTATATTATGCTCATATTAGAACATACCAATATCACTTGAAACTGGTTGGATGGTCATATTTGCAAGGTCATTCCGCAATGCTTCCAACTCTTCATTGGTTAAGAGAGGCGGTGAATCCTCTAATACCCAACTAGAATGGTCGGCAATTATTTCAATATTGATAGGATCATAACTCCCATTTCTTATTTTCCTAAGCACGCATGAATTAAATCTAAGTATATGTATTTAAATATAAAAATATAATGATCAGAGAAAAATAACCATAATAATACCTATTTTGAAGTCTCAAGTTGTAACGAACAAACACTAAATCATTAAGCTTTTGGTGCTCCAATCTATTTCTTTTTTTGGAATGAATATGCTCAAATATACTCCAATTGCGTTCACAACCCGAAGCACTACAAGTTTGGCTTAAAATACGAATACCTAACCTTTGCAAAGTTGGTGTACAAGTGCCATAAGTTTTCCACCATTGATCTGTTTATACCATGTGATTAAATAAATTTATAAACATATTGAAATATAAAATAAAATATATATCAAGAGTTAGAAGTTATGAAATTACCTGCCCTCACAATACATCGTTCATCCACGGTTGATTTCCTTCCAAAATCTAATTCACCGTCTTTGAATATTCTCATCTCATCTGTTAACTTCAATTGAAGTTCAGAATTTCCATTAGCATGCTTTTCAATGACATCTAAAAGTTCTGATGTTGTGGATGTATGTTTTTCAAACTCTACATCATTATATCTACAAGCTGGATTCAACCAATAACCGATAACATGAAGATTTTTGCGGAGCTGTGAATCCCAACGTTTATCTAAGATTTTCAAGTAAGGATCCACTTTCTTCTTATTTCTTTGAAACCTCCTCACCATCTCCTCTCTAGCTTTGACTATAGATTTGTATAGAATGCCCATAGCAGGTTTATCTTCACTATCAACAATACGCAACACACGCACAAGTGGTTCAGTGGGTTTAACTACATCAACACATTTACTCCAAAATCCAGAATCTAAAACTTGATCCACAAACTGTTTTGCCTTTGCTTCTTTGACATATGCTGAGCTTGTCCATTCTTTAGATGTTACCATGGCTCTTAGTGAGTTTTTGTGAGACAAAATACTTTGCAAAGCAATGAAATTAGTGGCAAATCGAGTTGGAGCAGGACGAAGGATTTCTCTTCCACCTGTTTTCTTTCTCATTAAATACAATGCATAACAATGGTTATAAATATATTTGGTAACATTAGAAGCATGTGACACTGTCTCACTTACTTCCTCTAATTTTCCCATGTCTTGCAACATCAAGTTAATGCAATGTGCCGCACAAGGAGACCAAAAATAAAGTAGGAAACTCATTTTCTAATAACCTTCCAGCAACAACATAATTTGCAGCATTATCTGTCACTATGTGAACTACATTTTCAGGCCCAACAAATAAAACCACCTCTCTAAAAAGCTTATACAACATATCTGCAGTTTTTGAAGCATGAGAAATATTAACGGATTTTATAAAAATAGTACCTTTGGGACAATAAACTATAAAGTTTATAAGAGTTCTTATTTTTCGATCAGTCCATCCATCGGCCATTAGAGTACAACCAGTTTTCTTCCAAATCTCACGATACTCCTCTATCAATTTGTTCACATCTTCAACCCATTTATTTAACAAATAGCCACGAAGACTATGCATAATTGGAACTTTATACCCCAGACTCATGCTGCAAAGTGCATCAGCCATAGATTGAAAATACGCAGAATTAGCTGTATTGAATGACACAGAAGAATCAATGAACCATCTTGCAATAGCTAGATCACACTTCTCCACCAATTTCTTACTTTGTAACACACTTTTTAAAGAAGGTTAAGCTCCAGGAGTTGTTCTAGGCATAAAATAATTACCAATACGACTAATATTCTTTCTCTTTTGAGACACAATCACCGAATTTGATCTTGATTGTTCTACATCCATTTCTACTACATCACCCTCTTGAGTAGTAAGATCAACATCAAAATTTTGTGCTTGAGTCTTTCTTCTCTTATTTGTACCTTCATCAAGATTTTGTTTCATTTGATATTGAACATCTGGAGGCACCTTTTTACATGTTTCAACTTGACCTTTTATTCCAGCCAAATGGAATTTGAACCTATTAATCCCCCCTCCTCTAATTATTTTATCACAGTAAATACACAAATTAACAAGTTTTCCTTTCTCTTCAATTTGTTTACATTGACCCCAAGCTATATCAGTTTTTCCCCTACTGCTCTGGAGTTGGGTTGGATTTTGAGATGTAACTTCTTCCGAATTTATTACTTTAGCGGGTGATGCCATATCTAATATCAATCAAAATTTAAAAATACAAAACTATATTACAAAAATATTAACAAAACACAATTCTAAACAAAAATTATTGAATTTATAAAAACATTATAAGAAACATTAAATATGTAGCATATCTAAATCCAAAATATATGAATATGTTGTTGTATATTACATATAGGCTACCAAGCATCGTTACTGTGCATCATCATATATAATAAAAAAATAGAAACTTTGCTTTCCAGCCCCTGCTATATATTTTAGATTAATAAAATCCTGAAACTTTTCTTTGTTATATAATTTAAATTAATAAAAAACAGAAAACTTTGTCTTACTATATAATTTAGATTACATAGTTTTAAACCCAATTTCTATCTCCATAATATATACAACGACTATTACAGTAATATATATCTATCCCAATTTCTATCTCCAATATACAACAACTTCATTACCAGTCTATAATAAATTAATTCATAAAAGTATAAAACTGCTTCATTCATACAAATTCTATCTCAATTTGTTAAAATAAAAGACCCAATTTTATAGAAAATGATCAAATTTAATCATTTATTTTCTATATCAATTAATCAACAAAATGAAACAATAATATTCATATTGAAAAACATCAATGCAAATTAGACCAAGTAAAAAAGAAATAACCTGTTTTTGATGTTTTGATGAAATTTTTGACGGCAAACAAAGAATATCAAATAACAGCAGCAAGTGGGAGTTTTTGTTGGTAGAGAAAATTGAGAATATGACTTCAATTAGAAAAAAAAAGACAGAATAAAAAAGAAAACCTTTCAAATGCCTAGGTTTGGGAAACGAGGAGGAAAAACGTTTATGTTAATTTTTTTTCAAAAGCCCTAAAAAATAAAATAATAGTCAAACCCGTTGGTTCAGTAAAAACTACCGGTTCACTAGTTTAACCGGTGATCCAACCGGTTTATACCGGTTTCATCCGGTCTAAATGTAATTCCAGTCTTATCCCTTAACCGGACCGCCTAGCCCACCGATTCTCGGTCAGACCGGTCTGACCAGTCGGATCGGGCTGGGTTTTAAAACACTGATCTAAATACTCATCTTATATTATATATCGTATATATTCTATTTAGTACACTTTTTTTTTAATTCTCAATATTATTATTATTATTATTATTATTATTATTATTATTATTATTATTATTATTATTATTATTATTATTATTATTATTATTATTATTATTATTATTATTATTATTATTTGACTATCTCAACAATCAAAACGGATAACTATATATATACCCATTATTATTCCTCCTAACTCCAACCACACATGTTTCACTAATTTCTACGCACGAGTATTTGTATAATACGCATATTTATTTTTTAAATATAATTAAAAAAATGAAATTTAAAAAAAATAAATAAATCGATATTTATAATTCTTTCAATATAAAAATATTTGAATAAATAATATTTTTTTTATACAAATACTATTATTTTTTAGAATTGTTGTAAAAAATATTTAAGTCAATAGTAATGTTGTTCTATCAATATTCAATATTTTGATCAGCAATTTCATGTTCTCGTTAATATTCATTAGTAACAAATAATTTCAATTATTTAAATTTACTATGAATTAAGAACATATGTGAATGAGTGAGTAGTAAAATAATATGAAAAGATTTTCACAATTAAATTTATAATAATAGGAAAAAAAATTTAAAAGTCAATGTAATAAAACAAAATTATATTTATACACAATTAAAGCATTAACATTTTATTTAAAAAAATTTCATTTAGTGTTTATAAATATCAATTATTACCATTAAAATGTCTATTTATTTGTAAGTTGCATAGAAGAATTAAATTTACATTTTTATCTTGTTATGACCCCAGGAAATTCAAAATGGTATCCAGAACCTCAAGTCGGAGGAAGCATAGGGAGGAAGGTACCTCAAGGACCTGGGTTCACGAAATAAGCATAACTTCGAGTAGGGTCGATAGTTATGGTCGGGATCCCCGTCCCGGAATCACCCTCTAGGGCGCGACCTAAGCGTCAGTGGAAGGGTCAAATGTGGAGCTCAGACTAACTCCTGAAACGGTCTCCAGCTCATTAACATCTGCGTTACAAGAAGTTAATTACACCAATCATGATTGACGGTGGATATTTCCAAGCAAGCATAACTGAGCAAAATGAATAGTCACTTCATAAACGTAGCTCTTAAAGGAAGTATATATAAGGGGCTCCTGCTAGAGGGATAAGCAAGACACCTATTCTTGAGACAATACGCACTGCAAGCGTAACTCTAAAATCCCCAATCATATCTATAGAAATCTACCTTTAAGACTCTCTTTATTCCTATAGGAAAGCTACTCGTTTAGTTTTCCTATGCCAGAACATTTGGCGCCCAGCGTGGGGCCTCGGTAAAACTTTCCTAGGCCACACACTGAACAACAATCAGCAGAATGTCCTCTCCAGGAGACCCTCCAGACATGGCCCAACTATTGGCCATGGTGGAAGCTCTGAGATAACAGAACGACACCTTACAGGATAGTGTCGCTGACCTACGACAAATGAGTCAGGTAGAGGATCATCTAGAGGATGAGCCTTTAAAGCCTCATTCGCCCTCTCAAGCAATTTGGGATGACCAAGTCCCGGATAAATTTAAGGCTCCACCACTCATAACTTACAATGGTAAATCTGATCCATAAGAGCACGTTATTGCTATTAATAATCAGCTGGAAATAATCGGCCCCACTGATTTACTCAAGTGTAAGCTCATGGCAAGAACGTTAAAAAATGTAGCCTTAAAATAATATAACACTTTTCAGCCAATAAACATCATAAGGTGTCAACCACCACCCCCGTTTAATGTTAGACAAGGGCAATCAGCATCCCTGTGTGAATACTTGTCCAGGTTCAATGAAGAGACCATCAAAGTCTCACACCCTAACCAAGAATTGTTCGTCAGAGCATTTCAACATGGGCTACGAGTTAGGCAGTTTAATGAATCCCTGGCTCAGAATCCAGCTTCCAACATGGAAGAAATCATTAATAGAACAAAATGTTATATCAAAGGAGAAGAGAGAAACAAGGAGAAACACTCAAGAGATACTATCAAAAAATCCAAAAGCAAGGAAGAAGGTACCGGGAGGAGACAAGAGCCTTCCCGGTACACCATTCGAGAATGTACTCGGAAATGCCCTGGGGTAAACACTGGTCGGAGACCGAATCATAAACCTTTGATTTTGGAGGAAGATTTGACTCTGTTGAACACTCGAAGGAGCAAAATATTCCAGGAAGTTTGCCATCTAAACTTGGTCCCAGCAGTAGCAGCCCATCCTAAAGGGGGCTTGCGTTGTGATAAGAAAGGAAACTGGTGATTGATGTAGTTACCACCGACTCCGGGGACACCACACTGATGATTGTCACTAGCTTAAGAACGAAATTGAAGCATTGATATAGAGAGGACACTTATTGTCCTATGTGAAAGACAACAAGTCATAATATAGGAAGAGGAACTCGCAAAGAGACAACTCAGGACCAGAGGAGCCTTCCAATAAGAATAGGAAAGATTCTGAGGAGGTTCATGAAACAAAGTCTTCCCGCCATACTCTTAACACCATTGTCGGTGGATTCGCTGGAGATGGAGAAACAAGTTGAGTGAGGAAAAGGTACGCCCGAGCTGTGATGCATGTGTCAGAAAATCCGTCCATCAAACAAGAGTGTGGCCTGAACTCAACGAGCTTCTCCAAACTAGACGTTATGGGGATCCTGGATCAC